GTGGTATGCAGTTTGCAAGAAGTAGTGTACATTGGTTGACGGCATTGCATAGAGCAACTGGCGAGACCGCAAGGATTCAACCTCTTGTGTTGCCCCTGCATATAAACTTGTGGGGTAGAGATTTGCTGTCACAGTTCCGCACAAAAATTGTTATTGGATAATGGAAAAGTTACAACTGTCAACCTCTCAGCCAGTTTGGATTGACCAATGGCCACTTACACAGGAAAAGCTTGTAGCTTTACATCAATTGGTAGCTGAGCAGCTACAATTAGGCCACATTGAACCAACTTCTAGTCCATATAACACTCCTTCATATAAAAACAAAAACGGGGGAAGTGGATGGATATGGTTTGCCTTACATACAAAACATTTTTAATATTACCTTATACACTTTAAATTTTCTAAACATAACAGGATCTCCTGCTGCTATGGCAGCCAGTAGGCATTTTGCTTCCTCCCCTTCTGCAGGAGCGCCAAGACCGAAAGTTTGGTATAAGAGACTGCCAGATCCAACGTGGAGAGGACCTGTCCCGCTGGTAACTTGGGGCCGAGGATACGCTGCCGTTGAAGATGAGGGGACAGTTGTTTGGGTTCCTGCTCGTTGTGTGCGTCCTTATCATCAGCCAAAGGGGCAAGGGGGTGGATTTGGGGGAATGGAAAAGAAACACATTGATCCAGGACATGGAGAAGCTAGCAAACCTTCAAAATAAAACTGATTGTTGGGTATGTATGCACATGCCAACTCACAAAACATCAGGGCTTCCAATGGTTGCAGTACCTCTGGCCGAAGGCGACTGGTATAAGGGACAATGCTGTGGTTGTTTGGGGACGTGGTCTAGCAGTTGGACTACAAGTAACATAAATACCTTACACCTTGGAAGCCGGATCCAAGAGGTGGCGGGTATCTGCTGGACCCACAATGAGACGGTAGAGAATATGACTTACTTGGGAACATATCCATTTTGTAACAAAACAATTGTTACTGGCAATGGAAGTCGGGTTTATTCGGGTGACATGAAAACAAAAAATCTTACTTACTTTGTACACAACATTTCTTATTTTGATATCATATCTTTGATCAATGAAAATGGGTATCCATATATTCCTGCCACATGCTGTCCCACCACGAAAGAAAACCAGCTGCCTAAATGTGCAAATGGGAATAATGCACCATCGTCCACTTATTTGGCTATGTTAATGGAGTTCTTTGTAAAACTAATCTATGCTGAGCCAAATAAGGTTGGTCATCTCCTGGGAGCAAATCTATGGTTGCTGTGTGGACGGATGGCCTATGATCGCATGCCAGCACGATGGAAAGGGGTCTGCACCTTTGGGAAAGTAATCCCATCTCATGTCATTTTAAAATCTTTGGGGACTGCTCATATCCGCAATGCGCATTCTGCAACAGAAGTAAACTCTGTTTTGACCCATGACTACTGGACACAAGTATCAAGGGGAGTTATTCCCCCTTTAGGAGTCATGATGAACTATAGAGATTTACATCATTTAAACAATTGGACAGTTACTATGTTTAAAGACACCATTAAAACGCTAAAGCTGCTTGAAGAAGAGCAAGGCAAAATTCTTGACTTTGTCCTGCAAACCAGATATGCGGTGGACACTATTTTGGCTGCGCAAGGGGGAGTTTGCGCTGTGGTTCATACGCATTGTTGCATGTATATCTCTGATTATTCTCCAAACATTACAGCTACTATACAGCATATGGAGCGAACCTTGAAGGAGAATCCATTACAATCGGAGGGTGAGGGACTGGACGTGTGGTCTGCACTTTGGTCCTGGTTGCCAGATGGTTCATGGATTCGTCACCTAATTGTTGGAGTGATATTGCTTATTGTATTTTCTCTTTGTGAATGCTGTTGTATCCAATGTCACCCTGGACTTTTAGGAATGTGTCGGGTGAAGCCTACGGAAGGAGAATTGCTGTTGCAGATGGCGAAAAGCTACTGAGGCATCCGCGATCATCAAAAAACTAAAACAGGGGAGATGTGGGAATAAACTTTGACTTGGGTATTGGGTAATGATTAGTCTAAGACCTTATACATACATGCTTGCTTAAAGGTCACTGAGATAGTGTAAGGAAATTAAGAACAAACACTAGAAACAATCAAGCAGCTCAGACAATTGTAAACAAGTCTGTACTATATCTAATTATTGTAATCCACATTGTGACTATACTTGCTATGCAAAAATCTCAATAAAAGGGAGCACTGGAATTTGCTCTGGGCTCTCATCCCGAGAACACTTGCTTGTGTCTCATCTTTTCCATGAGAGACCACCACAACCCACTGCAAATATACAGTAACTCAAAACAAAGAAATAATGATTTGTTATTACAGATGAAGTCCAACAAGAAGAGGGTATTTGAAATAAATGCACCAATTCTGGAAAAAAGATCACCTAGAATCAGAAATAACAGAACAGAGGCTGGCAGATCAACACTGATTAATAATAAGAAATAAAGTATTCATAGAAACAGAATTAAAAGAATTGGAAAGGGGAAAAAATCAAAATCATGCCAGGAGTAACTCAGACTGTAGAGGCAAACAAGAGGGAGTTGGCAGTAGAGAAATTCAGCAGAGATATACAATTGTTTTCAGTTGGAAACCTTTCCTCTGCCTCAGAAAGAACAAAGCCCTCTAACTAAAGAAATAGAAAAAATGAAACAAAGAATAACTGAGTATCTAGAACAGCACAAAAATATCAGAATAAGATTGCCTGCATTGAAGCTTGTTCCAAAGAAATACCTAGCACAAGCATTAAAAGATGCCAATATTGCAATATCAAATATAAGCTCCAGCTCACTGCAAGAAACAAATCAACTAATATATAGTACAATCATAAAAGTACAATCATAAAAACCCAGACCAGCACAATACCACTGTCAGCCTTCAAGACTCCTTTCCTTTCTCTTGCATCTTTCGGCTGCCATAGTAACAGGGTGGGTAGGGGGAGAGAAGGTGAAATAATTGGGCTTTGTGGGGTGGGAAATGTTCTGGAGGTTTTACAGAATGAACTGTATAACTTGGAGAAAAACTTTATTGTTTATGCTTACTTGTTTGCTTACTATGCAACTGCAGCTCTTTATCAAACTAGGCCAAGGTCAACGGGCAGATGTCTGCATCACCACCTGAAGATGCCCCCACATGACATTATACACATCTTCGATTGGATGAACATTGCCATCACTTTACATGTGTTTTTCGCACATAAATCATCAGATTTAGAATTCCTTTGATGCTACCACTTGATTTCCAGTAAAAGTTCCTTTTCTCTATAATAATGGAGTCTAAGTGTGTCTTTCTTGGATTTTGAATGGAGCACCAACCACTGAGAAAGAAAAACAAGAAATCCAAGAAGAAACCAGCATGGTTGCACAAAGATCTCTCTGACAAATTGAAAGAAAAAAAGGACAAGTACAAAAAATGGTAAGAGGAACACACAACTAAAGCAGAATATCAGCAGATAGCCAGAATCTGCAAAGACAAAGTCAGGCAAGATCAGGCTCTGCAACGCATTTTGATGGCTGACAGGAAGCTCACCTCACCTCAGATTACAAGAATTTGTGATGTAAAAGTGTGCACAAACAGTGCGTCACAGACTGCTTGCCAGAGGGCTCAAAGGCTGCAGGGCTCGAAGTAAACCTTTGCTCACAGACGCTCACTGCTCTCTTAGACATGCGTGGGCCAAGAAGTATGCCAAGTGGGCCAACAAACAGTGGGCCAAGGTCATTTTCAGTGACGAGCAATTTCTACTTGACTGGAAATTTTGTCCTAAAGGTCATCTCCTGTCCTTCTTAATCCCATCAACTGGACTGAAGGTGTTTTGTTTGTGAATAGAATTGGATTTCTTAATAGACACAAAAAAATCTCCTCCTCTTCAGGCGTCTGCTAGGCCCGTGATGGCTAACCTATGGAAGTGGCATGCAGAGCCATTTCCCCCAGCACGCGAGAGCTTGCCCAGAAGAGCCCCACTGCGCATGTGCATGCGCCACCACCCAGCAGCTGATTGTCAGGTATTTGGCGTGCATGCACGGGGTGGGGGCGGGAGCACAAAGGAGATACAAGCGCATGCACAGAGATGTGCAGCGCATACTGGGGTTGCACATGCATGCAGATGGATGGGTGATCGCGCATGCATGTGCAGTTGCGCAGCATGCAAGGGGATCGCGCACACATGCGCAGATGTACGGCACATGAAGGGGTGATCGAGTGTGCATGCACAGATGCATGGCGCGCAATGGGGGAATCACACGTGCAGGCGCAGATGCACAGCGTGCGGCAGGGGGATTGCATGTGCATGTGCAATGCGTGGGGGGACAGCAAGCTAGCACGAGCATGCATACAATTATCAGCACCGGAGCCAAAAAGGTTTACCACCACTGTGCTAGGCTGTTGGGGCTGCTTTCTGCCTTATTTAATATCCCCCAAAATATTTCATTCTTCGGCAGTTGGGGGGAGGGGCTTTCCCTCCCCACACGTGACCTCGTAAGACCTGCTAACTTTGTTTTGCGTGTCAAACACCCCAACAGGGGCCTACCATATGGTCGTGTTATGGGCTAAGCATACGCTAAAGCAGGGGTCTCCAACTTGTGGTCCACTGCCCACAACACGACCTCGGGCTAATCGCCAGTGGGCCGTGTCAGGAGCCGGCTGGTGCGCGCGCCCACGGCGCTCGCGACGGCGCCACGTCATAGCGAATTTACCCCGCCCACAAAATCATCTCTTTCCCCCCTCCCGTCTGCCAACCCGGAAAGGTTGGGAACTTCGCTGTAAAGCAATGGTGAGCTACGGTTTGCTTATGCCGCGAATTGAAAGTCTTCTATCGCAGCCGTTTGAAACGGCAACACTGCTTAACAGCAGGGCCAAAGAGCGACGTTCGGCCTGGATTGAGGCCTTGGCGCTTCCTGTCGCGGGGGGGGGGAGTGTCGTGTGATTTTTATTTTTCTGGGGCGGAAACATCTGGATTTTCAGCGGCTCTTGACCACTCTTTATTTTGTAGGCGAGAGATCCCGGCCTGGGAAGAGACTGTAGGCGATCTTCCAGAGGCGGAGAAACGGCATGCAAAACCGCCCGGCCTTCGCGACTATGCACCTGAGTCGATGAATGGCAGCAACTGCTGCCAATCAAGTTGCCAGTTGTTTCCCCAGGTCTTGTTTCCGGCGGGGCGAAAGCGGTGTGCGCCGGAGTAGGCGGTGCCGGCCTCATGCCCATATAGCGAACCCGCCCGCCAACGCCCATTTATTCGCCAGCGGTCCGGTGCCTGTTTTCCCCAGGTTTGCTCGTTCCTAGCTCGGTAAGTTGAAGGCTTCGAATGTCACTCACTTTTCCAAAATCGGGTGCCGGAGTGGAGACGGGAGGGTGGAGGGAAAGTCACCCTTGGACTTTCGTGGTTGGCGTGGCAGAGTTTTAAGAGTATGAATTCCATAGTCAGTTCCGCAGTGGAATTTGCACCCCGCGAGTGTCGTCTTGCCTGACACATGGACGTTTTCCCATTCTTTCAGCGGTGGAGTTGCCACTCTTTGTAGAGACGTATGATGCCAACTGCTTCCCTTCCTTTCACAGTCCCGCAGCATTTCCACCAGACACGATGTTCCCAGCAAAACTGGTCGAAGAAATGCGGAGTAGATTGGTTTTATAAGTTGAGCTTCTGGGCAGGCAGCCAATTCCGCAGAGAGAGTGTGGAAGTAAGAAAATGTAGGATGAGCTTTATTCTGTACAAGTTGACATTGGTGTGTGCATAAGCGCACCAACGTGTCCTATTGGTTTTTTTATTTTTCTTATATGTATCCATTTTATGTATTCATAACTATGTTTATATTTATACCTGTTATCTTATAATCGCTTGACAAGATAAATAAATAAAATAAATATCTCCCACTTTTTGCCAGAGGAAAAGAAGCTGCCTAATAATTATGTACACCTTGATATAGGGTGTTGGTCTCCTTAGGCCACACCCTCATTACACAAATATACCTCACCTGATATGCTTGGAGGTGGAAAATATGCATAAAAATGATGATATGATCAAAATACTCACTTGCCTAATAATTGTGCACACAGTGTAGGTACATCCAACAATATTTTGCCAGAGTTGAGTGTAGTCAATCAAAAGAAGGCCTGTTGGAGCCCCAATGTGGATGGTGGCTCTAACTTTATGAATATCTATTAGCATTTTTTATTATATATATATATATATATAT